AATGTTTTATTTAATTTTCAAGTTTCTACATCATGTTTCTTTTATGTGCATGTAAAATCACATCCATGTAAATATCACTTGAGTCTGATGGAGACCTAAAGGATGAAATGCATCACACAAAAATTTTTTCCACTTTGTCATAGATTTTCCTAAAATATATATTACTAAAAACAGTATATTTAGTGGGTATGCATGTTCGAGTAAGCATTTCTGACTTTTTTTCTTTTATTAACTGTGAAACTGACATCTATTGGATCACATTGGCATTTTTTCTTTAATAAGAATTATAATTACCCAGGTTACAGTATATTACTGTTTAAAACACATGTACTTAATATATATAATTTTTACAGCAATAAAGAATGTAGAAATAAAAAAATACATTAATTGCATAAAATGTGTATGTGTGTGTGTGTGCGTGTGTGTGTGTGAAGGTGGTCTCCTAATATTGAGAAAATTAGAAACTGAAAAGATTTACTCTCACATTTCCTTTTTGTCTTTTGCAATTTTGTTATTTCCATAATTTTAATTTCATGCATATTGTGATTTCTAATGAAATAAAAGTAACAAAATTTGAATTATTTAGACTCCTCATCTTTTTATATATTTTTAATTTTATATATATATATACATATATATTATTTAAACATATTCAATTTATTTTTCTTTAATTCATATTTATACAATTTCTTTGTATCTGTCTATATTTCTGTGAAGGTATTATGTACATTATTTACATTATTTAGAACTATTGTCCTCATCTTTGTCGCCATATTTATTTTGTCAAACGTTTCGTCCCTTCAGTATCTGTCTATATTATTTGAGATGAGGTATTATGTACATTATTTACATTATTTAGACTATTGTCCTCATCTTTTTTGCCATATTTATTACAACGTTTGGGCCTTTCCGTATCTGTCTATATTTCTGTGATGAGGTATTATGTACATTATTTACATTATTATTTAGACTATCTTTGTCATATTTTTGTTAAACGTTTGGGCCTTTATTTATCTATAACGTTTTGTCCCTTCAGTATCATTGTTTATATTTTGTCCTGAGATGAGGTATTATACAACATTATTTACATTATTTAGACTATGGAAATTCCTCATCATTATTTTGTTGCCATATTTATTACAATGTTTGGGCCTTTCCATATCTGTCTATATTTCTGTGATGAGGTATTATGTACATTATTTACATTATTTAGACTATTGTCCTCATCTTTGTTTGCAATTATTTATTACGTTTCGTCCCTTCAGTATCTGTCTATATTTCTGAGATGAGGTATTATGTACATTATTTACATTATTTAGACTATTGTCCTCATCTTTTTTGCCATATTTATTACAACGTTTGGGCCTTTCCATATCTGTCTATATTTCTGTGATGAGGTATTATGTACATTATTTACATTATTTAGACTATTGTCCTCATCTTTGTCGCCATATTTATTACAACGTTTCGTCCCTTCAGTATCTGTCTATATTTCTGAGATGAGGTATTATGTACATTATTTACATTATTTAGACTATTGTCCTCATCTTTGTTGCCATATTTATTACAACGTTTGGGCCTTTCCATATCTGTCTATATTTCTGTGATGAGGTATTATGTACATTATTTACATTATTCGAACTATTGTCCCCCATATTTGTCGCTATATTTATGACAACATTTTGGCCCTTCAGTATCTGTCTATATTTCTGAGATGAGGTATTATTTAGACTATTTACATTATTCAGACCATTGTCCTCATCTTTGTCCTCATCGCCATATTTATTACAACGTCTTTATCCACTATGCCATGTGTCCTCAAGATTGGTTAGGTCCAGTGACAGGACCTAAAGAGTGTGAGTTCAATACCCGGTTAAGGCAGTGTAGAACTTTCAGAGGGAAATTTACAGGAGATAACTGATAACTGACATCATTAAAAATGGCATGTGGAGCTAGAACAGTCTACCCCAGTGAGCGAAATAAAGGGTTAAGTTCGACATTCCAACCACCTGAAGAAGGCTGGAGTGTACAACAGCTGAAGCATTGTAATAAATATGGCGACAAAGATGAGGACAATAGTCCGAATAATGTAAATAATGTACATGTTGTTTGTTTTTGATTTTATCAACTACACAGTATAGTAGGGTCAGCTGGGCACCATCTGTGAGAAAAAGAGCACTATGATGCAATTCCCTGTGCCAGAAATTTGGGAACGGTATGCTATCCTGCTTGGCATTCATGCCAGTAGCTCCAATACAAACATTTCAGTGTTTGGGTATCAATCTGAGGACAGTGCAGAGGATTCAAAAAGCGTTGGATGAGTTTAATGGTGATTACGAAGGTGTTTGTAATGATCACTAGTGATGGTAACGTTATGCCTCCATTCATCTTTCCACAGGGCCTCAAAATCAACACAGAGGCCTACATCAAGTACATTGAGGAGGTAGTGCTGCCCTGGGTCAAGAAGGTAGCTGCTGGAAGACCTTATGTCTGGCGACACAACTCTGCACCATACCACACAAGCAGGAGAACCCAATCATAGCTGTCAGACAAATTCTGCGACCTCAGCACAGCTTACACCTAACTCTCCAGACCGAAATTCCCTTGATTATTATGTTCAGTTTAGCGAGAAACCAACAAAACTCCTTGTAACCCCAAAGTTGAACTGAAGGCAAGCATTATAGCAACATTCACCAAATTAAACAAGGAGACCATCCAGAAGAGATGCAGGAGATTCTGTAGTCATCTGGAGGCCGTGGTTGAAGCCAATGGTGATTTTCTAGAATAAATTTACTCTTTAGTATTTCTAGATATTTTTGTGTAATTTTGGTAAATATATCTGTTACAATGAGAGGTCAGTATTATTCTCATTTTTGTATAATTTTGACAATTTACCCATCGCACCCTTGTAAATTGAGTAGCTCCAATACCAACATTTCAGAGTGTTTGAAAAATTAATAAAAAAACTTAATTGCAGTAACTTGTCTTTAACAAAACTTGTATAAAAGAGGGATTACTCTTTATTATGAAATATACATTTTTTTCTAAAGAAGTAATGGATTAATTATTTAATAATCTGACAGATTTTTATCATTTTAAACATTATTTTTAGTAGATACTTTTATTTGAATAGGCACTCCATTATTTATTTATTTAACAGTATATTTATTTTCCTCTACTAGCCTGAATATCCGAGAAATCTTATTAAATAAAAATATGTGCTCTCCAGCTGGATTCAAATTTTCATGCCCCTGGGTAGAGAGAACCGTCAGAAGATATGATAGGCTCTAGACCAACTGCGCTATAATGAACTTAGAGAATTCAACAAGGTTGAATAGTGCCATTTTTAAGCCAAATTCTTGTCATCATAGACTCCCAAAATTTTCATATCTGCCAGTTTCTTAAACAAAAAAATTTCTCAAGTACTGGATTTTTTTATTTATTAACTGACAGATTTTATCAAAATAACCCCGTAAACTGTTTTTTAATGTAACCCTCTATCTCAAGTGGTCATTGGGCCTTGTACAAGGTGACTGTAAAAAAATATGATTCTTGACCAACATTCTCGGACAACACAAGAGTATTAATATGAGATTCTTGGACAACACAGGAGTATTAATATAAGATCCTTAGCCAACTTTCTTGGACAACACAGGAGCATTAATATGAGATTCTTGGCCAACATTCTTTGACAACACAGGAGTATTAATATAAGATCCTTGGCCAACATAAGAGTATTAATATAAGATTGTTGGCCAACATTCTTGGACAACACAGTAGTATTAAGATAAGATTCTTGGCCAACATTCTTGAACAACACAGCAGTATTAATATGAGATTCTTGGACAACACAGGAGTATTAATATAAGATCCTTAGCCAACTTTCTTGAACAAGCATTAACTTTCTTGAACAACATTCTTTGACAATTACAGGAGTATTAATATAAGATCCTTGGCCAACATATAAGATTTTTGGCCAACACTTGGACAAATATTAATAGTAAGAAGATAAGATTTTGGCCAACATTCTTGAACAGAATATTAATGCCAAAAACAATTAATATAAGATCCTTAGCCAACAAAAAAAAAACAACAAAGGAGCATTATATAATATGGCCAACATTTTTTGACAACACCATTATTAATTAAGATCCACAAACATAAGAATATTAATATAAGATTGTTGGCCAACATTCTTGGACAACAAAGGAGTATTAATATAAGATTTTTGGCCACCATTCTTGGGCAACACAAGAGTATTAATATAAGATTGTTGGCCAATATTCCTGTACAATACAGGAGTATTAATATGAGATTCTTGGCCAACTTTTTTGGACAACACAAGAATATTAATATAAGATTTTTGGCCACCATTCTTGGACAACACAGGAATATTGATATAAGATTCTTGGCCAACATTTTTGGACAACACAGGAGTATTAATGAGATTCTTGGCCAAAATTCTTGGACAACACAAGAGTATTAATATGAGATGATGTTGTCTACATAGTGGGATCCAATAGTTTGTTCATTCCAGCAAACCATGTAATTGATTTGGACAAGTACTGCTCTCAGTATGACCAAATGGAATGTTGTCCTATGAAAAAGTAACAAAAATATCAAAATCAAGATAATGGTTTGAAAAATCTATGGAATAAAGTAAAATCTTTAAGGGGAAAAAAGTATGAAATCTACAACAACCACGAGTAAGAAATAAAAATGATTCTATTGCAAAAATCAAAACCAATTCTTTAGAAAAATACCATTTTTTCTTCTCTATCTAAATTCTTTCTTTGTTTTTTACTCTTTTGTCTTTATAATCATTTCACAATACACTTGTTTCTGAAATTGTTTGGTGAATGTTAACTTTGGCTTCTTGTAATGTTCATGGGAAAGGAAAATGTAAAACTAATGTTGTGGTTAATGAGTATTAAGCAAAGTTTGTGGTACAACAGCAATTGCGGATATTTTTGTTAGGAGGAAATGAGATGAAAAATGAACTATTTTGATGGTTGGAAGAAAGGAAAGGCGGAAAGAATTAACATGAAGTGGGAGGGGAAGACAAGTAGAAAATAAGAAAGAAAGAAACTGAGAAAAGAAGAAGTGAAGGCTTAAGAAAGGAAAAAGAAAGAGAGAGAGAAAGAGAGATTAGTGACAAAGAGAACAAGCTATTGAGAGGATGAAGAAAAGAGAAAAAATGTAAAAGAAAGGAAGGAAAAAAAGAAGAGAGAATGGAAATGAGTGAAGGAAGAAATATGGAATTAACAGAAATAAAAAAGAGAATAAGCAGAAGAAGAACAAAGAAGAAAGAAAAGAAAAAAAGAAGGAAAAGAAAAAGAAAATAATGTGGGAAGAAAGGTGAAAAAAAGGAAGGGTGAAAGAGAAAAATCTCAAATTGAGTAATGGGAAAAAAGAAGGGAAGAAAAGAGAAATGAAAAAGAGAACAAGTTATTGAAAGAAAATAAAGTGGAGAAAAAAAAGAAAAATGGAAGAAGGGAAATGAGTGGAAGAAGAAATAGGGAAGAAAGAAAGAAATGAGAGGAAGGAAAGAAGATATGAGATGAAGAAATGAGAGAAAGGAAGGAAGAAATGAGAGGAAGGAAAGAAGGAAGGAAGAAATGAGAGAAAAGAAAGAAGGAAGGAAGAAATGAGAGAAAAGAAAGAAGGAAGGAAGAAATGAGAGAAAGGAAAGATTGAAGGAAGAAATGAGAGAAAAGAAAGAAGGAAGGAAGAAATGAGAGAAAGGAAAGATTGAAGGAAGAAATGAGAGAAAAGAAAGAAGGAAGGAAGAAATGAGAGAAAAGAAAGATTGAAGGAAGAAAAGAGAAAAGGAAAAGAAAAGGAAGAAAGAAGGAAGAAAAGAAAAAGAAAAGGAAGAAAGAAGAAAAGATTGAAGGGAAAAAATGAGAAAAGAAAGAAGGAAGGAAGAAATGAGAGAAAAGAAAGAAGGAAGGAAGAAATGAGAGAAAAGAAAGAAGGAAGGAAGAAATGAGAGAAAGGAAAGAAGGAAGGAAGAAATGAGAGAAAAGAAAGAAGGAAGGAAGAAATGAAAGAAAAGAAAGAAGGAAGGAAGAAAAAAAGAAGAAAGGAAAGATTGAAGGAAGAAATGAGAGAAAAGAAAGAAGGAAGGAAGAAATGAGAGAAAAGAAAGAAGGAAGGAAGAAATGAGAGAAAAGAAAGAAGGAAGGAAGAAATGAGAGAAAGGAAAGATTGAAGGAAGAAATGAGAGAAAAGAAAGAAGGAAGGAAGAAATGAGAGAAAAGAAAGAAGGAAGGAAGAAATGAGAGAAAGGAAAGATTGAAGGAAGAAATGAGAAGAAGGAAAGGAGAAATGAAAGGAATGAAAGAAGGAAAGGAGAAATTTGAGGAAGGAAAGAAGGAAAGGAGGAAAGAAGGAAGGAAAGGAGAAATAAGAGGAAGGAAAGAAAGAAAGGAGAAATGAGAGAAAGGAAAGAAGGAAGGAAGAAATGAGAAGAAGGAAAGGAGAAATGAAATGAAAGAATGAAGGAAAGGAGAAATGAGATGAAGGTAAGAAGGAAGGAAAGAAGGAAAGGAGAAAAGAGAGGAAGAAAAGAAAGAAGGAAAGGAGAAAAGAGAGGAAAGAAGGAAAGGAGAAATGAGAGGAAGGAAAGAAAGAAAGGAGAAATGAGAGAAAGGAAAGAAGGAAGGAAGAAATGAGAAGAAGGAAAGGAGAAAGGAAAGAAGGAAAGGAGAAATGAGAGGAAGGAAAGAAGGAAGGAAGGAAAAGTGATAAAGTAAATGAATTGAGGAAGAGTTGAAGAAGAAAGATGGAAATGAAAGAGAAAACAGAAGAATCAGGAAAACAAAAAGAAAGAAAAGGAGAGAGAAAAGTGAAAAGAAAAAAGGAAAGAAAAAAGAAGATATGGGGAAGAAAGAAGGGAAAGAAAGAGAAATAAAAAAGAGAACAAACCATTGTGTGAAAGCAAGAAAAAAAATAATGAAAAAAGTGGAACGAAAAAAAACAAGGTAGAAAATGAAAGAATGAAGGAAGAAAGAAAAAAGGACAAACATAATGCAATGTGGTGAACTGACAAGTTTGACACTCGACGGAAATTTCACCTGATGATGATCAGAGAATAAATACATGAAAAGTGAGAGAAAGGGGTTAAAGAAGAAAGGAAGGAAGGAAGGACGAACAGACTGAAAAAAAAGAGATAGGAAGAACTGCAGCTAATAAGAAAAAATAACGGATGAATGAAAAAAGATAAGAGAGTGAAGAGAAAGAAAGGATGATGAGAAGAAAAAAGATGAAGAATGAAAAGTTAGTAAAATAAGAAAACTTATTGAAAGAAAAAAAAGGAAGATGGAGAATAAAGAAAGAAAAAGAAAATCTAAAAAGAAAACAATAAAAACAGAGATGGTAAAAATAAAAAATGTATGTCATTATCCCAATGCCACTCTTGTCCTCACCATCACTCTCATTCTTTCCATAGCTATCATTTTGACATAACTATCAGTTCATTACAGACCCAACCTCACATGCCAATCTCAATAAACTTTCTCATGGCAGCCACAAATGTAGATGACCAATAAGTTCGTGATGTACGAATTTCCATGTAATATATTGACCAAGATTTTTGGTTTCTTTAGGACAACAAAGAGGATTTAGCCAATTCTTACAAAAGTATTTGTTAATATTGGCTGGTTGAAATTCCCTCACCAACATTTCTGCTTGGAAACTGACCAAATAGCCACAGGGTTATGAGGAATACTGGTCATCGGATATCACGCCCACAATTCTGCAACACTTAGACTTTGTGTGGTTCTATTTTGGTGTCCCAGTAATAAAATACCTGAATCATGTGTGTGTCTCTGTGTGTGGATATGTGTGTATGTATGTGTGAGTGGATTTGTGTGTATGTGAGGAAGGAAAGAGGAATAAAAATAGACAACAGTCCAAACTATCTTTCTCAAAAAGTCATGGTAATTCACATACATTAAAGAAAAGGAAACTGTGGAGAGCCATGATCGCTTATATCCTGAAGGAACATAACAGAAAAAACAGTTATAAAAATGACTACTGTGAATTCAAAGCCAAGTCAAAGGAAATGAGAAACCCATCCACTATCATTCCCAATAAGTCATGGCAGTTACATTTTGGATTACTCAACCAAAGCTTTTATCTACTGGGGCATAAAAGTGTTGGTTAAGTTATCCAGAAAGTGAATTGACACAAAGAGTTGTGAGTTCAATACCTGGCCACAGCAGGGGTAATAAAATATTGTAGAGTTATTCAAAGGAATTAATTGAAACTGGGACATCTAAAAAAAGGCATGTGGAATTAGAACAATCTACACCTGTGGACTAAATAAAGGGTTTGGTTTGAAATTCCAATGTATATCACCTGAAGAAGGTCAGAGCATGCAACAGCCGAAACATTGTGAATATGTCAATAAAAATAGACAACAGTCCAAATGATGTAAATAGTGTAAATAAATGAATAAATTATCAAAGTCAAATCTCTCTTACTAGACAGACACCTACTACATTTAAAATTTAATTTAAGTTTTTTTTTCAGTTAATCTATCAGCCAGGGATAATTGTTAAACAGTTTCCCAGCATACAGTGATGCACAGAACTCTTGGAAACAGGATTTTTTAATAAAATTATGAAGTTGAATTTCCTTTGTATTTTATCAATTCAGTGGAATTCTTGTATACTGAGAGCTTGTCTACCCTTACTGCTTGAACTTTTATATAGTCTATGCCTTAGCTATACTAACTAGGCTGTTATTTACATATTACTAAAAAATAATAATACATATTATTGCTACTAACCTAAAGCTTAATAGCTAGATGTAACTGTATGCTAATAGTTTCTATTGCACTTCTTGCTAGTGGAACTTTTTTCCAGCTTTTTGCCTCCCACTTTGAAACAATAAAAGGTTTAAAATAGTTTGGTCAGTCGATTCGATTTTTATGGCTTATAAACACTTTGCAGTTTATTTAGACCTAGAACTATTTTTTTTAGATTGTGAAAATTTTCTTTTATATAATGATGGTTTAGTGGTACACGTCCTAGTAATTAGCCCATAGCTGGGGGAGACGAGGTGGATTCATAGCTTTCACAATGGTATTTGCACATAATGAACCCAACTGTCATGGTAAATTTTCTGATGAGCTATGAATTTAAGCGCAGTACTAGATTGCCGACAAGATCTCATCATTTTACAGTCAAAATGGTTAAATATAACCCTAAGTTCGATGCTAACAATTTCTGTTCTCGCTTGGGGATCTCTCTTCTGGCTTTCCAGTCAAGTTAATTGCAATGTCATTTGTTATTGTTAACTAGTGTTTATTATAACTGGTATAACCAGTTATCCCCCACTCCGCAACTTGATGGACTCTTCCTATCAGCAGGAGCATAGACTTGTATCCCCCTCCTGTACAGGGTGGATTGGACTATTAGATACTATTTAAACTGCTATGCTTTCTCTATAGGCATTTGAACTACTGACATTTGGAACCAGACCTGGACTCTTATCAGTTTTCAAATATATCAAGTATATATGTCATATATAGTTATCATATATATCAAGTATATATATATATATATATATATATACTTGAACTTGCCTACTGACATTTGGAACCAGACCTGGACTCTTATCAGTTTTCAAATATATCAACTATATATGTCATATATAGTTATCATATATATCAAGTATATATATATATATATATATATATATAACTTGAACTTTACTGCCTACTGACATTTGGAACCAGACCTGGACTCTTATCAGTTTTCAAATATATCAAGTATATATGTCATATATAGTTATCATATATATCAGTATATATATATATATATATATATATATACTTGAACTTGCCTACTGACATTTGGAACCAGACCTGGACTCTTATCAGTTTTCAAATATATCAACTATATATGTCATATATAGTTATCATATATATCAAGTATATATATATATCTATATATATACTTGAACTTTACTTGCCTACTGACATTTGGAACCAGACCTGGACTCTTATCAGTTTTCAAATATATCAACTATATATGTCATATATAGTTATCATATATATCAAGTATATATATATATATATATATATACTTGAACTTTACTTGCCTACTGACATTTGGAACCAGACCTGGACTCTTATCAGTTTTCAAATATATCAACTATATTGTCATATTAATTATCATATATATCAATTCATATATATATATATATATATATATATTCTTATTAGAACTTTACTTTACTGACATTTTGGAACCAGACCTGGACTCTTATCAGTTTTTCCTTCTTAATTCCAGTTCTCTTATTGTCTTTTCTTATTAATTTGTTTTTCCGTATTCCATAACACTTAACACCTTGTTTAGTGGCTTTTATTTAGTAGTTTATTATATTTTTAATCCAGTGCATCACCAGATTCTTATGTCACATTCTTCATTGTTATGTTAGTACTGATCTATGTTTCATAAATCAGTACTGACATCTTCAATTCGTAGGTCGCATCTTGAGCTGGCTCTTTTACTAAAGACCAGACATTATGCATCCATACAATTGACAGTTTTTCCTTCTCGCTTTCCTTTACTGTTAGTAACATAATTCCTTTGTATCTTATGTTGTTAAGTTTTTATCCACAAATAATAAATCCTGATAGGATGCCTAGTTCTTTTAACCCCTTCTTTTTCAGACAAATTTTTATTTTTTATTTTTTTAAGCATTTCACCCCAAGCAAGGTGGGAGTGCCAGTAGTACACAAGGGGCTACAGAGGGCATAGGTAAGGGTAAAACTGACTAGGGGTGTGTGGGTCAGGGTTGAGGAAAGGATAAAAAGAAAGGTGAAGGGTGAAAGAAGAATGGAGATCAAGGCATCAGAAGATGCCGATTGCCATTACGCTTAAATTTTTGAAGATTATTGTTTTTAATATAGTAACTAGTGTTATGAATAATCAGGTATGGCCTCTCTTTGTTTTGTTACTCTCCTCTTTAAGAGAGCTATTTCTATTTACTGGGACTATAAAAGGACACTATATGCGAACCTTGTATTCTCAGTTGAATAAAGCTTTTTTAAAGCCTACACCTGTGTACTTTTGTCATTACAACTAGCACCTTGAAGTACTTCAGTGGTGGCTAACACCTTTACCAGATGTATGCGTTGATGATTAGACTCATTTCAAACTCAGAAGAGCATAAAAATAATCAAGATTGATGTATGTCTGTAGCTGGTTTTTGAATGTTATGTTTTGGACATGTTTATTTGTCCGAGTCTGTAAAAGACAGTTTTGATAAAAACATATATACACATCAATGCTGGGGAAAGGGTTAAGCTTAATATATTATTATTTCAGTCATGCCTATAGCAGTCTTACTTTTGGTTCCCAATAGCTTTGTTTTGTGATGTTTTCATACCATATGACGGTAGTTTTAGTGATCTTGGAAGGTCAGTTCTACTTACACATGGTTGATATACCTACTAGCGTCTGTCAATGGTGATTGGCTGCTGCCGAAGTCACAGTTGGCAATGACAAACAAAATGCATATGAAATGAATGAAGACATATTTATTCAAGATGAAATTAGTTTTATTCACCTCTGGAAAAGTGCATATGAAACCACAGTCCATTTCAATAACATATGTACCGTTTATCTCCTCATTGTAAAACTCGGATGTCTTCTGAGATCCATTAATACTGTTTGTTAAGTAATTTCTCTTTCACAACTCATAAAGGTAATGATACCTGTTTGAATAATTCATTGGAAAAATATTTAGCATTGACAACAGAATATCTCTTTAATAATTGTATGTGTGTATCTATATCTTTATATATCTGTATTCTATGCATTTAAGCAGCATAATCCTGGGTATGATGATAAACTACATCTGGCAGCAAGGCCTCTGATTGAGAGATTGGATGTTTTGAGTGGGTGTAGAACCACTTCTTAAGCCCTTCCCCATTTTTTATTTGTTTTTAATATAGTAACTAAGAAACTGAGGCACCTTGAAGTGATTAACACCTCTACCAGATGTATGAATTGGAAATTAGACTCATTTCAAGCTCAGAAAAAAGAATCAAGATCAACATATGAACACGTCTGTAGCTCATTTTTGAATGTTATGGTTTGGATGTATTTATTCATCCATGTCTCGAAAAGAACCTCCAATTGGTTGTGAACTGGGGCAGGAATTGACTCGCCAACTTTAATGCCTCAAAAACAAATCTGCTCTCTATTAATCACCAAAGAGATCCTTCCCTGCCCTCCATTAGAATGTCTGATGCCCAACTTCTCGAGAGCAACTCTCTGTGGCTGCTCGGTCTTACATTGACTGCTGACCTGAGATGGAACAAATACATTGAGTCAATTGCTTCGTCCACTGCAAGGAAAGATGGCTCCCTGTGCAATGCCAGGAAATTTTTCTCCCCAGAATCGATCTCACCTTTGCCTGGAGTATTGCTGCCATATATGGTCTGGAGCCCCTTCTGTTTGCCTCGGGGTTCTTGATAAGATCCAGAGGTGGATATGCAATATAATTTGCCCTGTTCTGGCATCTCATCTATGGTCTCTCTCTCACAGACATGTCGTCGCCTCTCTCTATCATTTTTACAAATACTTTTATGGTAATTGTTCCGAGGAGCTGCATTCGCTGGTTCCCAGATTTCATGAATTCAAGTGCCCTACGAGGCTGGCATC